AGGTATAGAGTGAAATTAATGAACTTGTTCCCTTGGAGTAGTTGTCTGGTATTAGGTGTTTTTTTTTAGTAACATTGTTGAGTAACTATAAATATTGCTCCTGATTAGTTAAATCTTTTTAAAGTGTTTGGTGGAAATTTGCTTTGGCAGATGGTTATGTTAATAGTGTTGTAACTGCTCTTTTCTTTCAAGTCTTTCTCTTAGGTTTGTACAATTGATTAAAAAAGTTGCTGTTTCGAAAGCCACTTACCAATACCAGCAAGCCTGATTGGTGAAACCAAGCGAATTTAAGGCAGAGGGAGAGTTTCCTGTTTTTCAGTGGCCCAATCTTTGGCCAAGACTTCAGCCACACACACGTCACACCCCGTTTATAGAGCGGACCCATTCATGCATCCCTTCAATCATCTATAGCACGTAATTTTGAGTCCAGAGAACGATCAATAATGATAAAAACCATAGAACGATCAATCTCCAATTCAGTAAACCAAGAGGTATAATTCGTTTTGGGAACATGGAAGATTTTGTGACCTGACAGATTTAACGTGGACCAGTCACCGTTTACTACACGGTCAGCCAGCGGGTATCGAATTCACGACCTTTTGCCACAGTCCAAGGCTCTTCTAACCAGGCTAGCCCGGTCCTGTTGCTGTTGTGACAGAACAGCAGAATATTTTAATGCTTTTTTTTCCAATACAGTTTTTTCATAGTTTACATAGTTTCAATACAGTATCATTAGTCAAATTTTTTTTTAACTGTTTTGCAGTTGCATGGTTTTACAGAATTACAGTTTTCTTTAGAGTTTCTCTCTTTTTTTTTTAACTAGTCAGATTAGTAACAACCTCTTTTTCTTCACAAGTTTATACTTAAATTTATTTGGCACACATTTGTATTGCACATTGTTTCATAAGTATGTCTTTTCCTCGAATTTTTGTGGTTGATAAAAAAGCTTTCGCAAATTAAAACAATGGAAATAAAATTTTTTATAAACAGACTTTTTTAAAGTAAAAATAAAATAACATAAAAATAAAATGACATAAAAAATAAAATGACATAAAAACAATAAAATTAAATTTCATTAAAACTTAAGAGCTTAATGGTCCTTGTTATTTTTTTTTAAATTTTCGTTTTATAACCAGTGTTGAGCAGCCGATCCAATTCTGAGCGTACGACTATCAATGTTCAACTCCGTAATCTTGTAATTTTGAACCCAACCCAAAAGAACTCCAGGATCATGCATTGGGACAAACTAATAAAAAATGGTCTTTCTTTAAGATTTTTCATAAACTGAAGAACTAGAAACTACCTATCTTTTCACCGACTGAACAGTGTGGCAGCTGCAAGTTGTCCCTGTCTTTTCATTAGCAGTTTTTCTGAAATGAACTAATGGGGAATGACACCGTTACCGGTGTTGCAAATTAGCGAATTGTATGTTCGTCTTAACTCTACAGCCTTTTTATAACAAAAAGAGAAAACTCTTTTCTTAACTGGCATCATCATGTTTTTTGTAATAAAGCCTTTCTTCAAAGCCTCTTATTTTTCCATTTCTATGTTGATTAATTAAAATACGTTTGTTTACTTTTTGCATTATTTTCAAATAATATTTTGAAGAGATTAAAAGAGCTAATAAAACAAACTATTCAAAATTACTCACAAGCTATGGTCAATAGTGTGAGACATTTCAGAGAAGACTACTAAAAACGACGTACTCATGAAGGACTCTATTTTAAATTCCATCTGATTTATTTACATATTTAAGAGTTTGACGCAGGCTCTTAAATCTGTAAATAAATCAGACATAAGGCATTTAAAAATTATATAATTTATTTTCACTGCGTCAGTTTGAGTAAAATCTGAGCTAAAAATGTATGTAGAAAAAACCAGAAACTGAAATTAAATTGCAACAAATGTAGGTGCAATGGAAATTACACTAGCTAAATACCTCTAGGCTCTGTTTAAATTTGTTAGTAAAGCCGATAAAATTTCAATGAGGTTTTGATAAAGAAAAACACTGTTTTAAGGGGGGGGGGAGGAGCAATTGCAAGTTAACATAAAAAGAGAAGAATTTTATCTTGCAGTAGCCGTTTCGGTGATTTGCTGTTTCGCCTTTTTAAATAAGTAGAATCTCGAAATTTAAAATTGTATAGCCAAAAATCAAGACTTATAAGTACAAATTGCAAAAATGCAAAGATTGCACAAGTTACAGTGATTTTAAATTATCTCTTAGACGTTTAGATCATTTTTCAAATATTTCAAAAATGATTACCTGATAATTTTTTTTTCAAAAAAGGGTTTGTTGTTAAGAATGAAATATGCTATAATTTTAGACATAATAAAAATATATGCTAATTGGTTAAGGGGTACTAGCATTTTTGTTAAAGTCAAATTGCGAACTCAATTTCTATTGTTAATTATCATTTCGTTAGCATTTAAAACGTTATTTTACCAGAAAAAGATTTTTATTCGAAAGGGTTTCTTATTTTCGTCAAAACAAATCGGATTTTCATTGTTATAAATTCCTTTAAATTTTACAGTTATAAATTAACGGATCTTAAGCGATATACAATTTAAAGCAAAAGATAAAGCAAAAAATAAATAATTTAGTTTAATGGCATTGTTGAACAACTAAAGGGCAGCATAACTAAATAAATGAGTATTTATGTTACAAAGTTAAAAGTTAATTTATTTAAGTTTAGTGAATATAGCCTTTGTTGGTATAAACCTTTCGCTTGATAGACGTTAAAAAAAATTTTTTGAAATGTTTAAGATTAAAAGGATTTTTCAGAAAAGATATATATTGACTAACATATAACTATTTTATACAAATATACTATTTTACAAAAACTAAGAAAAATCAAACTCTAAAAGACATCTTATTTTTTAAGAAATGATTAATTAGCTGCTGCTGATCAATCAGTTAGCTACTCTGCTGCTAGAAGTATTTACCTTAGTATTACTTTTTAATCAGCAAAAGTTAAATTGATTTATGAACACGCTTTGAAAATAATACTAATGGATACGGAACAAAATAATATTATTTCAAAAATGAAAGAAAATTTTTTCGACACAGAATATCAAATGCTTTCTAAAATAAAACTATGCATATAGAGTCAGTTAAATTATTTGTCATAAAGTCTAAGAAACACTACCTTTTTTTAATATTCATACTGAAAATCAAAAGTATGTGTGATAAATTTCAAGTCCCTTTACAAACTCTTATAAGACGAGCTAAACTGAAACGAAGAATTTGAAATAACGGACCCTAATATATAAAACTAGAATATTTTACTCCGATATATAACGTTTACAACGTAATAAAATGCAGAAACTGTTTAACAGAATAGGCTAAATTTCCATAGAATGTAAAGTGATAATAGGATTTGCTGAAGATAGGAAATAACCTCTCAGAAGGTATCTTTAAATGTAAAGTTGGGGATATTTGCTTAAATGAATAATTCATAGACATTTTCAGAGCAAACTTCAGATTTTTATACTTTCCTTTAAAGAATTCAAAGTACTACTCTGGAAGAAATCGAATGTTGTTGTTGGATAATAGGTGAATTCAAAGAATTACAATGTAAATTATGGGAAGGTAATATCAAAATGGTGGAGTATATCACGCAATAATAAAATTGAATGACAATTCAAAATGAAATTTTTGTTTCATTTATTGTATTTTTTTTTGAACAAATTAAACAAACTTATTAATTAATTTGGAATTATTCTTAAAAGATTTTCTTTCAAATGAAATCTATGAACTGATCAGCCTTATTATAAAAGTAGACTATTTGACAACAATTAAAAAGGATAGTAAAATGCATTGTATCGTTTTACAACAAAATATGTATTTATAAACACGTAAAATATTTTTCTTCGGTATGCATTGTCATAAAAACATTTAGAAAATTTAATAGAATTCAGCATTTTTGAAATAAATTTACAGAATTTTCAAGGCATAAGTGATAATATTTTTTTGGAATTCAAATTAATATCTGAAAACCAGTTGTTGTGGTTTGAATTATGATATAGATAATAGATATATTTGAAGAATTATTTTTATTAGCTAGTCAAGTATCTTTGCAAACTTGAAAAGACTAACATGTTAATCACAAAATTAAAAGTATGTCGTACATTTTTTTTAGAATCATTATTCTTAATTTTTGAGTGAAGATAAATATTCAGCTTGACTTCATTAAAAAATAAATTTATAGACATTTAGATATGACATTCCATATTCTATTTAAATCCCTGTATAGTTCGATAGAGTACGACATTCAGAGACATTTTAAGAGCAAATTTTAAAGTTTTAAAATTTTCTTCGAAATCAAATTACCCTAAGGAAAAAGTGAGTTCTTGTTTCTTGAACCATGGGCAGCATAATAAATGAATTGAAAGAGAATTGTTATCGATATTATAAAAATATCTTTGCTTATGCATATTACCTGTAAAGAGTAATATGTTGATTGCAAATCAAAAGCCAAATTAATTCAGAATTGTGTTTCAAATTTTTTAAGCTATCGATCATTTCAAATCATTGATCTTTCAAAAATTTTCCTAAAATAAATACTTATAAGATACATTTTTTTAAAATTATTATTATTTTTTTAATGTAAATAAAAACTACAAGTTTCTTTTCTGTTAAAAATATTTTTTTCTATTTTAATAAATTTTTATTTCAATTTATTTTCAACTTTATATAAGTTTTAAATTTCATGAAACTAAGTAAAACTAAAATATAATTAATATGTATATTCATATTTAATTTAATTCACTAAAAACTTATTAAATATAAATATAATAAACAATTTATAAGTATTAATTATTATGACTTTTTTAAAAATAGAGACAAGTATAATACTACATAAACTCTCAAACCTGAATTAAATTAAACTATATTTTTACCTCTTTAAACGTACACTTTATGATATTAATTTTAATACTAATAGAGATTTGTCAATACTTTGTAAACTTCATATTAAAAAAATTTCTGTTAAATGTTTCAGATAGTATATGGAGCATTCTGCTAAAAATTTAAAGTAGCAAAAATTATGTATGTATTTTCATTTTTCGTGTAAAAAGGATAGACCCTAATTTATTATTGTACCCTTATTTTATATTGTTTGTTAAATTTATTATTATTTTTTTATATTCATGAATAAAAATTATGGATGTTTTAAAGTTATCAGTGGTAATTTCAATAGAAATGCAAATACAAGTATATTTATAATTAATTAATCACAATTAACAATTATATTAAAAATATGATTGACTTACCTGAAGCATATAGTAAAAATGGATTATTGTCTGGTACTTGTTATATAGAAATAAAATCTGTAGTGTTATTATTTATCAACATATTGTAATATAACTGAATAGTAAATATCACTCTGAAAAACTCATTTCTTTCATATGAAATTCTAATATTTCGAGTCTATAATGCAAATTTTCGATCAAAAACTATTTAGCCTTGTATCACTAAAAAGAATATTTGGCAGAAAATGCAGCTAGTGTGTTTCATTTTAAAATAATGAAAAAATATTCATAAAATGATAAAGGATTTGTGGCATAATATTGTAGTAAAATACTATGTTTTTAATCTGTATCAGAAACATCGATTTATTTATATGGCAATACAAAATTATAACTTCTCTTTCCACAAACTATTGTTGTATCATAAAATAAATACAAATTCTTCCTTGGTATATCACGGGCTTTGGAAGAGTATATAGTCAGATGCGAAAATCAGAAAACGTCTTCAAAAATATAACATTTGGTGATTTTTATCGTTTGCAAAAATAAATATGATATTTAAGTTTGAAGAATCGTTTGCATAAATAAACAGAATCTTTGAATTTGAGGAATCGTTTGCATGAGCAAATATTACTTATGCCATGAAAATTATTCTTTGAGCAAATAAAACATACTACTTCTTAGAGATTTTTAAGATTTTTTTTACGGAAAATGCTAGTGCAGAGTTTTCCGATAATCTATAATAAAAAGTTTCAGTGCATGCTGGTCAAATATTTGCGTATTATATGTCGTATAATACTAAAGCAGTAAGAGTTAGTACCAAATAAAAAAAAAATGAAGCAAAATTCTCAGAAGTCAAGAAGTGGGAAAAATCTACTAAAAAAAGAGAGAATTACATTATTCTATGGCCCGCAAAAGACAGTGATTGATGATTATTGACTTACAGATCCTGATACAAAAGAAATAAAATTTGGGTTGAGAAAGTTAGGCTATAAGTTGTTATATGTTAGAGCTATCTATAGCAATAAGTTTCTACGATCTGTAATTATAAATGTATTCATTATCAGAATTAGTTAGAGATTATTTACTGATTGATAATGTTTGAAGATTTAGCATTTTGATTTACTTTATAGAATCTATTAATTTCAATTTATTTTATTTCATTACCACGAATATATGGGTGATTCTCACGAAACATGACAATTCGGACCAAAACATTTCTTCAAATTTAAAGTCTTCAAAATAATCTAAACTTTTTTTTGTATACTTCTTTAGCTACACTTATTAATATCCTATAGACAGCAGTGTAGTTTATTGACATTTGCTCGAGAAAAAAATGAAAGAGAAATTCACCAAATCTTGAATGCCAGGAAAATGACATATTACCTTAGAAGTTTAAAAAACAGTCATTTTAAGTTAATAGTATGTAACTCAACTTAAGCCTTTATGTTAGATGGACCACAAATAGCTTAAATTAATTCTTTTTATCCACTGTAGAAAGAAACAAGAAAAATTTTGTTGCTGATATATGCAGAATAAAATTGTGTATAATAATCAGTCATTAAATAAATAAATAACTTTGATTAAATCCAAGCATATTACAATCATACATAAACTTGGTATTAGGTTAATATTTGCTTTCCCTCTTTACATTATTAGCAGTTAAAAAGAATTTCTGGTAACACTTCAATGTCCTGTCATTCATAAGCCAGGAAAATGACAGCCAGGATAATGACAAATT